ACAGCTCAGGCTGAGCGGTTTGGAAACAAAGTTAGAGAAGGACATGCAGAGGAGGGACAATGGATATACTTGACAAAGGGTGTTGAATATGGAGCTGCGAGGCAGGAGGAAAAGAGGAAGACAGGGATGAAGGAAGACATGCAGAGGGCTGGATGTAGCAGAGCAGATGGAGGAGGGTAGGGTGGAGATGAGCAGGTGTGGGGACCCCTAAAGGGAACAGCTAGAAGACGAGGAAGATTATGGATGAGCGTTTTCTCCAGTTTTATCAGTTAGTTATATTAGTCCAAAAACAATATTTATTTTTTTTAATTAAAAAGCTGGCAAGCTCAGTTTCTCAGATTTTACCCAGCAAACATAAAATAAGTGTTTATTTAAACATTTACTTAAATTTCCCCTGCATCCCCAAGGCCTCTGCAAGCATGTGCATGTTCTGTACAACCTGTGCTGTCAGCACTGCCGCCCGCACAGGAGGACAGGAAATCCTAATGATCGGTTTTACAAAGGCATGGCACATCTGAGTGCACAGTGTGCAGCCCAACGACACCGTGATGCTCTTTACCAGCATGCTAATACATCAGCGTGTGCCACCAGAATGCAGCTGGGAAAGCTGGCAGATGGAAAGCAAAACAATCCCATCTCCCACGATGCGCTTTGCTGAGACATGAGCATGATTTGATTCCAGATCCCGCAAGCATCCTCACACATCGCAAAGAGTGAAAGGGTGAAATAATCATTTTATATATGGAACACTGAGGTTTGCAGCTAAACTTTTTACTTAAACCTCTGTATGAATTAAATGTCCTATAAAACTTCATTCACTCTATCCAAAGAGGCTGATGGCTTTTATGTTGAGCTTTTCCTCATCCTCATTCCCTCTGTTGTGACTGTGCACTCAGCAAATCTTCAGATACCCATTAGTGGGTTATTACACTGTCCAGTAAAGGAACCTATTTAGCTAGGACAGCTCTGCTGAGCAGCACAGTATGGAGTGCTTTCAGAGCAAATTGTGGGCCCACCCACCCACCCTCCTTGCATATGCTATACATCACCGCTGACATGGTCTAATTAAGATGAAAACAAATGTGTGCAAGAAAGCATATCACTAAGGACAAATGGACACACTTTGCAGTAGGTATTTTAGGAGCAGACGTGACCACATTTTATTTGAGGCGTTTATATTTTATTCAAATTGTGTTTTTACAGTGATGATTACATGTGCAACAATGTCTACCTTACAGCTGCAAGAAAGCAATACATAACTAAAAGTAGCAATAGAGTTTAATCTTGTGCTACTGTGATCAACAAAGCTGAAAAGAAATCTTAAATCTGGCTTTTACTCTGTGGGTTATATACATTATAAAGGTGCCCCATTTTCTTTCTTCAGGTGGAAGTTCTTGATGCCAAGACAAGGGAGCAGCTTTGTTTTCTAGACAAGGTATGCTGACATTTTAACACAATTCAAAGGTCCCCAGGATACGTCTTAAGTTTATAATTATGAATAAATAAGGACATGAAAATGACTTTTCAATCTCATTGACACAGTGCTTTGTATTTAGTGCTTGAGTCTGACATAAAGTTGAGTTTATACTGACTGTAAACTTTCTGTTCCATTAAGGTGGAGCCCCACTCGACAGTAGGAGACATAAAGAGCCTTTTTCACAAATCATGTGAGTGCCTATAATAGTAATGTAGCGCACAAATGAGCCTGTTTAGATTTGTTAGAAGTACATGTGGCTGTAATTTTGTTAGTCTTGCTGTTACCTAGAAACCTGTCAATAAATAGAACAAGACTTGAGTTATACTATAATTCAATAAAACACAGAAGATCAGTGCTCCTAGTTCTTTATTATCTTTCACTGCATGTTTACTGTAAACAAATCCTTCAACTTGTGGTTATTGGATAAAAAAACATTATTACACTATCTCTGAATGAAAAATCTTACAGTTCCTCCTATTAAATCTCTTCACCAGAGAGCTGTCCTTCTAAAAAACTATTTTTTATTTACTTCTCTGAAGCCCACAGTGCTTCTGTCATCAGCATGTGTCTGGTCAGAAACGTTACCAAATGTCTGCTGAGCCCAAGGCCATCGGCATCTATCAGAGTAGCAGAGCTCAACGTTATTCCATTGTGATCAATTATTTTTGGGCCTGAGGCCAAAAAACTGTGTGTGCGGTACCAGCTATGTCCAACACTGCGACTGTGTTTGTGTGTGCATACGTGCTCGTTTGATCGGCACAGATCCTCACTGGTATCCAGCAAGACAGGCCCTGAAGCTTGATCCAAGTAAGTGGCTGTGTTGTAAATCTAGCATTTAGTGTGTGTGT